CACCTGTGAGCCATATAGAAAGGGTTAAATTATATTCTACATACAATTATTTCTGTTAAGATTTCTAGACAGAAATTGCTTGATAATGATTTAAGCTTCTTATAATCACTGGTACCACAAGATATTTCAAGAAAATTTTTTATTTATCAGTCAATAATAAAGATATACTATATGTAATAACATTATAAGTTATACAATCTATAAAATCTTTGAGATTTTAACTGATTTGAAAACACCATTGCAAAGTTGTTTGCTGCTGTGCCATTATTCATAAGAAAAGTAATCAAAGATTAATAAGACATAATTTGAGTACATATTTGTATAAAATGAACAATCTAATTTTTCAAAAATTGCAACTTAAGAAAAGTAGCACAACCACTTTTGAACACAAATTTTAGTCTTCCTTATACTTAAATAATTTATACTGCAGTGTTTTCAGCACACTTATTTTACAACTCCAGAATTACTGTTATAATGCTTTCAATAAGCGTGTTGAGGTCTGATATTACAATTTCTTTGTAACATTATATTTTTGTATTAAATTCTACAATTGTGTATGTCCCATTTGCTTTCAATATGGGCCTAAAATGTGGTTCAAGTGACTTTACCACCAAATACTAAATGTTTTATTTCAAGAGCTGAAATTCATGATCTTATTCCAATGTGTGATTGCTAGAACAGTAATTCAAACAGCTGTAGATACTTCTAGGAAGTACAATATAACTTTGTAAAACATCAGTATTCCATAAATTGTGTGAAATATTAATGCTATAATCTCACCTTTTGCTCGACTAGTATGCAGACGTCCACGTACCCACACCTTCTGATCAGCAAAGTTCAAATCAAGCACTTTAACTTCTACAAGATGCCGCACTATCTTCTTTTGAGACTGATTCATTGGCAGCTTTCCATATTGTCCACTAGAATAGTCTTCTTCAGTATTTACACCCTCCTTAATTAACTTCAAGAATAATAAAAATAATTATTTTTATCAAGAAATTTTTCCAAGTTAAAAACAGTAATATTTCATACAGAAACTAAATACATATATATAAATAATAAGCTATTATATGAAATATTTTGTTATCAAAGCTAGTATCCCTGATTAGCTTTATAATAAAACCCCAAATAAACTTAATAAAAGTATATGCATTGTCTTTAACTTTTTTTAGGTGTTTTTGTTTTTCTATTTAAATGGGAAAACATTATTTATGGTCAAAGGACTGCAAATGTGCCTCCTCCCCTCTTTTTTTAAGGAAAGAGTTAAGAAAAGACCAAGAATACTATGATAAGACTATTACTCTCATTAGAAAGGCAGTAAAATCTATTATGAGTAAGTCATAAAGATGAGGTCATTCTTGTTGATAGTGTATCATAAACTTGAAAGCCTTTGATAAGGCACCTCATATTAAACAAGTTCATTGGTTAATTGAAGTTGGCTAGAAAAACAATAAAAAATTTAATTTTAAAATACAGCAGTGGTACAGACATTTTTTCAATAAGAGATCTGTTTTAGAACTATTGTTCCTAACTTATGTCAAGAATTTGGATAAATTCTCGGAGAATATTATTTGCAAATATAATAATATGATACTTGGTAAAGGTAACACAACTGAAAATTTTATTTTATTAAAAAAATAATTTCAAAAGTCTTAAGGATTTGTCCAAAATGTAAAAAACTGCAGTTAACTATTGAGCAATTTAAATTGACATACTTGGTATTTGTAATTTGCAAACAACTCTGTGTGAGAGAGAATCACTGATGTAATGTATATACACGAAAAAGAGATGGTATCGGTATGATGATTGGTAAAAAACTCCAATGACTTTTGTACATGCCTAACAATTGTTAATAACAGTTTTCATTTATTTGTTAATTGGCGTATGCCAGCGTTTCCCAACCTGGGCAGTAACAGCCCCTAGTGGCCATTTTACAAATTCGGGGGGCAGTAAACTTTGAAGGAGCAGGAGAAAAGTTTTAAAAGTTTCAAAATTATATTTGTTCAAATTAAACCATAAGAACTATGAGTTCTTTTTCAACATGTTTGAGCAAAAATAATTGTGTGGGTGTGTTTGTAGCAAGCAACATTTACCCCAATGTTTCTTGTCCATTTGTTGATCACATCTTTTTTTTTTGGTGCCACTTTTGTTACTTGAATTAAACATGTTACAATAACAATGTTTTCTGTCATTCTCTACCATTACTGAAATAAAATATTTTAATGGTCTAAAAATTTATTAGAAAGGAGCACAAGCACTCACTGTTTGCTGAAAGGTGCGCTCAGGGAAAAAAAAGTTGGGAAACACTGGTGTATGCTAAGTACTTTTTTCTTATTTTATATAAGCACAAAAACTAACATTTTGGGTTTGTCGTTCAGCCTTTTTAGCTGCTTTTTCTGCTTCCTTAGCTTGCTTCTTCAGTGCCTTCTTTGACATAGATAATTTGTCATCTGGACTAGAAAAAGAATGAGATTAAGGCTTAAAAAAAAGAAGTATATGCAATGATTTAAAATAATTCATTTTCTAACAAAAAAATTATACAAAGATGATTAAACTGGAGAACACAATCCAGATAATATCAGATTATTCAGTATTGCAGTATTTTATAGGTTCAATCTAATTTAGGTTATATTTGAAGAGATAATAAAAATGTGCCTATAAGGGAATTGGCTGATTACTGATTAATCATCCTTTTCTTACCATCCAATTACCTACTAATATGAAAATTGTAAAAATGTCAATACAGATTAAGTCCTAAAGTGCCAATTAATCAGTCATAAAATATCAATTAATCAACCCTTATATATACTTTTATAAAGGTCAATTTTCTATACTCATTATTCTCAAATTGAAATTTAACAAGCAAGTATATGCACTAAAATGGTTAAACTGTTATTCGTTTATAGGTATTATTGATGAAAAAAGGATACAGGGATACTTATTCTGAGTATATTATTGGTTGAAAGTCAAAACTCGTATGGATTTTTTATTCAGAATGAAATGGACATTTCTTCATTCCAGCATGACTACCTTAGTGAAAATTGAAACAATATAAAGCAAAATATTAGCTGACACAATGATAATAAAGACCTAATAGGTGTTGTCTAATTAAACTTAAAAGTTGCAAATTAAAAATTATATTTTTCTATTGCAATAATAATTTAATCTTATCAAGAGAATAAAGGATAAGCATCTATAAGCAGCAAACATTTAAGAATTTTAACTTTGATACCTGAATATAATTTTTATCAAATTGATTTAAGTTCTCAAAAACGTTTATATTTTAAATCTAATATAATGAAATCAGTAAAATTAACTATGTGATTTCTTTTGAACTTTACACCTGTTATTATTTTAAGAAGATAATTACTTGTTGTTCTAATTTCAGAAACAAGGATCAAGATATTTGCTTTCAATGTAATATACATAAAGTGAATGTCATCTTTTAAATGAAGTTATCAATAAATTGTTAAAAAGTCTCAATAAAATCAAACCAATGACCTATTCCTCAAATAATTGGAATATATAATGTATAGTACGTACAGTAAAGATAGATCTAGCATCTACCATATCCAGTTTTATTTGCATATTACCTTGATATTTTCAAAAACAAGTAAGCCATATTGGATTGCCTAAATTTTTTCTTCACAAAACAAATAGTTGACATTTATTAATAAAAACTGATACTAATTAATTAGAAAAGTGCTTGTTATGATTGATTATGAATAACATACTGATTAATTGGCACAAAAGATAATTTTTACTATTATACAAGGACCAATTAAAGATCTAAACTATTAACAAAGTTACAACATACCAAGGATACATGGGTGCAGAATTGATAAAAATATCTGCAGCATATGACCCATGCTGTATATACAATTACTTTAATACCAAATACTGTACCTATCTGATGATATTACCAGGACTTGAAGTGGACCATGCAAGTATAATTTTAAAACATTTGCAGTTTAGTGCTAGAAAATTAACTCGATTACTCAATTAGCTATGAACATTATATAAATTAGTGTGATATAAAATAATCGATTAATTATGATTAAATCAATTAATGTCAAGAAAATAATAAACCAGTGTTTCTGATTAATTCTACTGTCCAGTAATCAAAATAATGCCATTAAGATTTTTGATTATTTTCAATTAATCCAAGTTTGTTCAATTTAATCATTAGTGTCATGACTCAGAAAATTAATCAATCAATTGAAATTAGGGTTTCCCATTAATATTTTAAATTATTCCAACTAGACAAGAAATTGAAATATTACCATTAAGTTTATTGTAAAACACAAAGCTACACAAACACCTGTCAGTGCTCTGCACACCGCATGTGTATCGGAAACCCAATTTTTAGCATTACAACTGCTTTTATCCATTTTACATGAAAATAATTATGTTATTTTTGCCATCTCATGGGATAATAAACAATTAATTGAATGGAATTGATTAATGAACCCAACAATCAATCAATTATCAAATTACCCAGCTCTATTAGGTAGCTTGTGATTATATATGTTGATTAATCAGACCAAAACAAAAACAAAAAAACTCATCAACAAATGGTTACTGAGTACAATTGAGTCAGAAATTGTACTGATCATAAGTTCCTGATAATAAGTAGGCAAATAATGATTTATAAGCATGAGGAAAAGTTTTACTGAAACATGTACTATGTTCCACCACCAATAAAACTTTTCCTTATGCTTATAAATCATTGTTTGCCTACCTATTGTTATATTAGCATAATGTACTTTACTGAAGTATAAGTTCCAGATGACATCATTGTAACTAATAGTTTATATAGGATGGAAAACTTTATTTTATAGATAAGCCATATAAATGAAATAAAACATTCACATGCAGTTGAAAAATACATTATATAAAACAGCAGTCATGTTTTTACATCTGAAATAAAAAAATCTTGTTGTTCATGTATAGGCACTCGATATGTGCACCAATCCTCATACAATTATACACAGTAAGTTTGAATTCCAAGAGCACCCAACTGTAGTCAATTAAAAAACAGTAGAACAGAATAAAGTAACATTTCAATATAAAAATAAATACAGGTCTTCAACTATATGAAAACATTATGAGAAAGAGTTATTATTCAAGGTATATGTCAATTAATTAAACATGTGCCTTAAATAGAGGTGTCAGCTAAATTAATAAATAATAAAAGTAATTATAAACAAACAAAGACCTGATTATGTTTTATACACTAGAGGTTCAGTAGATTTTACTGAAGCAATACAGCCACTGAATGTACCTCTCTGTGCATCATCATAATGAGCTGCTGCATATAAAGTTTTGGTGAAGTGTTCATCCAATAGCCAGAAATAATGGAGACCAGCAAACATTGTTGAACAACTAAGTAAAAAAGGCAGAAAGGTAGCTAAAAGTAGGATGACCAGGAGGAAATGAGTGGCAGATGGACAGATGACAAAAACCTGCCACTTACACTGATAGACAAAGTGGAAGGTTGGCAGGAATGTGACAAGAAGAAGGCTATATGATCAGAATCCAGATATAATGATGATGAACAAGACAAATTCCACATTCAAATATGTAGAGATGATACCCTTGGATTAAAGGAGATTAGTGAGGTTGAAGCAACAGAAGGGACACACTGGGTAAAGGAGGGGGGGGCTAGGTATTATGTGAAGAAGCAAAGGAAACCATGGTTAAGCTGACCAAAGATGTCACCAGTAGGGCCCAACAAGGAGTGTCAGGTGTCAAAGTGAAGACCTGAGAAATGAGTTGAAGAGGAGAGAAGGCACACAGAGTAAGGTGAGACCATTCTTGATTGAGAGCACTGATAGCCATAGCCAAGGGATAAAGAACTGGGAACCAGAATAGGGGAAGCTTGAAATTAAAAGGATTGGCAAAGGCATCTATGAGTGCCTAACTAATAGCAGATCTAATAAAAAATCTAGGGGTGGAGGGACCACTCTGTGGGCAGAACAAGATCCAGTGGAAAGAGGTGGTCTGCCACAAGGTTCATACCTTCTGACAAGTAACAAGATGAGCTCAATTGGAAGGAGCTCAGAAGAGGAGGTTCAACATCTGTAAGCAAAGAGTCCTGGAACAGGTGCCCCCTTTAAGGTTGATGTAAGAAACAACCATAGAATTGTTGGGATGAATCACAGCCAAATGGTCCACCAAAACATGTTGAAAATGGTAAAATGTTCAACGAACAATGAGAAGTTCAAGCACATTGGTTCGGAGTGAACTCCTGTCCTGTGTCCAAATGCCAGAAGTCACATCATCATTCAGAGATGCACCCTGTTAGATATACACAACTGTTCATTTTAAGTTTAATACAAGAGTATTAATTAGTTTATATTATTTAAGCATTAAAACAAGATATTTTTGGGAGCAATAGTTATGGCCAATTTGCTTACATAACTGTTTACAAATTATTTGTTGTGCAGTGCAGTTGTTGTGAACTGACATCATGTTACTTGAACCTTCTTAGTTTTTCTCGTTGTTTTATGCAAGCATTGTTACATCATAACGTCTTGCAGTTTGTAGAAAGTTCTAGGCCTCAGTTATAGGCAACCAAGTTAATGAAAGTGAAGTTAAACTACATATCAGTTTAGCTGTAATGGGCAATTTGTAAAGTGAGTTTTACAGCTTGCATTGTAATAACAGAAATAAAAGAGAATAATCTGTCTTGTCAAAGGGTGTACTAAAATAACTGAATCTGCCTTTGTGGACTTTAATGAAAAAAAGAGACAAATATTTACAGCTCTGGATACAACTCTAATAACTAATAGTTTTATACATATTTTTGACTTGTTTCAAATATATTATTTTAAAACAAGTGGATTGTGTGCCGTCTGTTTATTGTTAACATGCCCAGACACAGTTTTATAAAGAAAACAGACTAGAAAAAGGTTTAGATACCAATCATAGATGGCA